CGGCGGTCCACGTCTTAGCACCACGAAGAGAAAAGCCGTCGTACCAGGACTGGCGACGAGTTGCTTTCATACTGGCCAACAAGGACCCCATCTACAGGTCGTTAGCCGAGGGGATCGAGCAGAAGCTATGCGGCAACGCTCAGCAGAGGATCCCGCTACCTAGCCAGGCCAAGCCAGGCACAGTAAGCCAAGCTTGTCAAAACGCAGCTCATGAACCGCTCGTTTGCTGAGGGGCGAAGGGCAAGACCCTAATCGGCGTCCTGAACAGGGAGAAAAAGGACGGCCATGTCCCACGTGACAAATGGCAACAGGTTTAGAGCGAGCTCCAGGACCGATTCTTACAGGAACTGGAGAAGAATGGCGAACCATCGCCCAATTGTGAGGACACAGGGTGGTATCAAGGTAAGGTGAAAGCCATCGCCTGCTAAGGTAGTCGCTCTGCGGCCTTTTACATGAATGCGATGGCTGCTCTCAAGGAGGTATATCCAGGGGCCAAACTAGAGGCCGTGAAATGGGAAGATGTCCCCAGTAGACCTAGGGCCAGAGCATGGGTCTCGGCGAAGCCTGCAGAGCTTGAGAGCCTCAGGTTACTGCAACCGTCGTACAGCCGATTGGAAGGTGGCCAAGGCGGAGGATGTCACAAGGCAAAGGCGCCAGATCATCCTCGTTCTGAATGAGGAGTTCCTTGAGCGCCTCGCACAAATGGACGGAGTAGTGGACCATGGCTACAAGAAGATAACACCATATCCCCCTACAAGTCCGACTGTAAGTGCAGGCAAGCGGAGGTCGAGCCAGACCTGGAGCTGCCGGAGATCCCGAAGGGGGAGGCTTCGAATGTGGAGGACAACCCGCCGTCCGATGCGGCGTCCGTGGGGTCGGACGACATTTTGGACGGCCACGTTTCCGACGAGAGCGACCAAGCCAGGAGTCTTAGCCACATCGATCTCGGGGAGGAGCTGGAGTCCTCCTGTAAAAAAAAATTATGGAGGTGAACCTCAGAAATGTCCCTGACCCTCCTGCAGATAAACCTCCACCATTGTAAGGCAGCATGCGCTGCTCTACTGCTCCACCTAGCCAAGAGTGGAGCCGACCTAGTCCTCATTTAGGAGCCCTGGATCCTCAGAAACAGGGTCTCCGGTCTGAGGACTTCAGACTATAAGCTATACGTAGCTGAAACCGAAGGTAAAATTCGCACCTGCATTCTTGCAAAAAGAGGGTTGCACTTATTTTTGCTCCCCAATTTCAGCAATGAAGACTACACCTCAGTGAGCCTCGAAGGCCAGGAGCGCTTACAGCGGATCTGCTCCGTATACATGAGTCACGACCAACCTGACCCCCCTACACACGCTTCCCTCCGGGCGCTTATCGCAGACTGTGAGGCCAAGGACATCGGCCTAATTGTGGGGTGGGACGCCATCTTTGTCGTGTTCGCCCTGAGTCTCCACCTAAGAAGGAAATTCCCAGGAAGGCCACGACTCATCTTGTTACAATTTTCACCGACGCTCGCAGTGAGGCGCTCGGTAAATCCTGCCCTCCGGCAAAACAAAGGCCGGAAGAAACCTGCATGGTGGACTGTGATACTGGGGGAGCTCCGGAAAGCCTTCCGCTCTTCAATAAAGAAAAGGCTGAGAACGTTGAGCAGAACCGGGCCGAATATAAGGCCAGTCTGTCAACCTACATTAAAGAACATAGGAAAGCCAAACGAGCCTCAACGAGCAACTCAGAAGCTTCGCGCCTGCGCAGTTTTCTCGAAGAACGCCGACCAGTGTTGGACAACGCCCTAAAATGAGTCGCAAATCTTCTCCTTAAGACCCACTTACCAGGCTGCGATGAAAATAGACCCAACTACTTCGCACCTCCTCCTGTTGCCTCAAATGCTATCCTGAACCTGCTAAGCAAGGAGAAAATTACCTGGGCGATCAATAGCTTTAAACCCTACAAGTCTGCGAGACCAGGTGGCATCCCAACCCAACTGATTCACGCTCGACAAAAAGACATTAATTGGCTCTAAGTCATTTAGGAGGCAGTGTTTTCCCACGGGTATATCCCTGATACCTAGCTTCAGATCAATATCGTTTTTGTTCGCAAGGCAGGCAAGCCCTTGCACACTCCCTTAAAGAATTTTAGACCCATAGGTTTGTCGTTTTTCGTTTTGAAGATTAGATGCTATAATGCAGGACGGTTAAGGCATCACTGGGGACGTTAACGTCCACCAGATTTGTCAGCAGAGGTACACCGCAGGGCGGAGTCCTCTCGCCCCTCCTATGGAATGTCGAGCTGCTGCGGAAGATAGAAGGGGGTGGTTGCCGCGTGGTCGCGTATGCGGAATTCTTCGGTAAAGTACAAAGTTCCGGCACTGACTTCCGCAAAACTCTGTGGGGAAGCGCTAGCCTTTAGCGACAATGCTAAGTATCTTGGCCTAATCCTCGAAAGAAAGCTCGATCGGAAACTGATCATAGCGGATAGAGTAAAGCAGGCCACATATATGCAGGAAAGCAATCGGACTAAAATGGGGAATGACCCCGTATAGAGTTCGGTGGCTATACAGCGCCATCATACGACCAATCATGCTCTATGGAGTGGTAGTAAGGTGGCCAGCCCAAGATAAAAGTACTTTTCTCAACAGACTCAGTAGAGTTCAACGCATGTCAGAGCTATGCATAACTAGTTGATAGTGTGCTCGCGGAGGTGGCGGCCATCAAAGAGGCCATTTCCATTGTCTCCAAACTACCCCTAGACACGCATTTAGTATGTGACTTCTCGGGCAGCCAAGCAGCTATTGAAGCTGTAGAATCTATATCGTCAAACTCAGCGACTGTAAACGACTCAGTTCTATCCCCCCTCCCCGGCCACCGCCATAACCTAACCTACCTACCCTATATTATTTAATATATATATATATATACACTACTGGCCAAAATAATAAGTACATCGGTGTCGTGCTAGTTTGTTATGGAATAGCTCGAATGTTTGTAAGTGTATGGATGCCAATTGTTTATATTTGGAAAGGTTACAGTCTTGCCAATTATTTAAATCAAAAATTAAAGTGGGGAACCATCTTAATAAAATTCTATTCATACATTTTTGCAGAATGGGCATTTTTGGTCTGGCCAAAATAATAAGTACACTGGTGTTATTTATATATTTGAAAGGATTGGATAAGGATTTGGTCAAAGGATTGTTGTTTTTTATTGAGTTCCTTCATATTTAAGTACATGAGAGTCAAAAAAAATTCTTTAGATAGGCCGTACTCCTCAAGAAAGGAAGTTTTCCATAAGTCTTCAAAAAGAAAGGAAAATTCTCCGGGAAAATGGCGAAAAGTCTTGGACGATCGGCATTTTTGGTTCAGAATACTTTCAAATCTAAAGTGCTTATTGAAAATCGAGGATGGAAGAAGAAATCTTTACAAACAACGGACACCCGCATCATCAGTCTTGCAAAAAAGGATCAGTTCATGTCTTCCAAGGCCAAATACGCTCAAATTGGGAAAGAAAAATCAGGTCTGATGGTTCGTCGGAGACTTCAATATATAGACCTAACAGCACGTATAGTCCGAAAAGTTACCTTACTCCGAGTAAAAATTTTGAAGATGAAGCAAAAACTCGTTGAAACTCGTTGGCATGGTCTGGGTCAGATGGGTCTTAGAAGTGGAATAATATATTATTGAGAGACGAAACAAAAATAAATCCTTTTGATAATGACTCCAGAAGATGTATACAAGGACCCAAAGGCAAAGAATTCGACTTCCGGTACACAAAGAAAACGGTTAAGAACGGAGGCTGATGTATAGGTATCTGAGGATATTTTTCTTGGCATGGCGTTGAGCCGGTACATCACACAACTAATCATGTGATCCAATTCGGGTATAAAAACATATTGACAGACATTATACAACCTAGTGCTGTGGAAAACATGCCCTTGAGATGGGTCTTTCTACCAGAAAATGACCCAAAGCACACCTCAAAGGTGGTGAAGGCTTGGTTTACGGGAAAAAATGTAAACGTTATGGCTTGGCTAAGTCAGTCTCCTGACTTAAACCCATTTAAAAACCTTTGGGGTGACTTAAAACGTCGAATTGCTAAAAATGCTTTTCGAGAAGAAAAAGAATTGTGGAGAATTTGTGCAAAAACGTGGTGTGAGATTCCAGTGGAGACTTGCCGCAAACTTATTGCTAGTATGCCAAGAAGAATGGCCGAAATCATCCAAAATAAGTGTGGCTATATAGGATAATATTAAAAGATTATAAATTATAAGAAAAAAGTGTAAAAATTTTGATACGCTTTTAGTTTTTCGCTTTGGAGAATTGCTGTACTTATTATTTTGGCCAGCCCTTATTTATGATTTTAAGGTTTAATCGATCATAAAATATATATTTGAAATGAAAAATGCTTATGATAAACATTTTTATAGTCTATTGTAGGTTAGAAAACTGAAAGTAAATTTGAGTTTTTAATTATGTTTACTAGAAAAGTTTTATAGGACGTGAAAGAAATCTCATAAGCGTGTACTTATTATTTTGGCCAGTAGTGTATGTGTATGTCGGACATGTATGAGAATGATGTAAAGAGAAATTTAAAGCAATAAGAAAGAACAGAAACTATGTAGTAGTGTTCTATTATGCAGTTTTAATCTATTCGCAGTTTTGCTGAGCGAGAGAGCGTCGTCCCAGCCGACTGTGCCGCGGTGCTGTTGTATTTGAGAAAGCGAGATCAAAAAGGAATTGAATGTGGCAACGCTGTGTCGGGTAATGTGTGAGCTGAGAGAGGCTCGTACAAGAATATGCTCGGCAGTTTCTGCATAGAATTGAAAAGAGAGACAACGCCACGTCACGAGGCCTTAATTAAAATGCAAGAAGGAGAGCCCCCTGTCCCTCTGCCTCTGACAGATATATATATTTAAAATATATTCCTGTGTGCAACGTGGAACAGGGTAACGCACTGTTTCCAATAATGTTGATGAAAATGTCTATGAATGGTTATGATAGCTCTTTGATTACTTACAAATGACCACATATTTAACGGGACGCTGTAGTACTTCTGGCTCCTCCATGGGGCTTTGGGCCAGCCAGGAATGTCGGGGAATAATGGAACACAGCTCCTTTGGTATTTTGAACTCTGAAAATGATATATGTAACTACGCTGAAGTGTGGAACTTGAAAACAAAGTCTACTTTGACTGTTAATAAATACATCGGAGCAAACTCGCTCTTCCGATTCGTCCTTGCTAAGTAAATTTGGTTCAATGTCCGGAGCTGGAACCTCAGTGAGTGAAGTTTTTCGACGATCGTGTCGAGCTCGACTCAAGCTGTTGGCTATGATCTGTATGTTTCCATTGATGTTGGTCACATTTCCAATATGCACATTTGTAGAATTACTGATGTTAACATTTCCCACAGTTTGAATGCTGTTGATAGAGTTCATCAGGTCTCGTAGAGTGTCACTGATTTTGGAACGCTTGTTCGCTGAAGTTGGATGATTTTTGTCCGATAATTATATTTCGAGTGTGCGTACATACATATGTATGTGCAGAGCCATCATGATGGATGCTAATTTGAGAATCTACTCACTGATGGAAGTGCCCAATGGCATCGTACTAATTTCCTCTCCTGTGTTTTCGTTGTCTTCGTCATCTTCATCCTGGGTGTATTCGCTGTATTCATAATCCAGGCTGTCCACCACCGATGATTCGGCAATTGATTCTACCTCATCCTCATCTGGAGCACTCTGTGCTTCCAGCCATTCCCGAGTTCGTTCCTCACTTAATGACCTAACCGCTGCCGATATAGGTACGTTGGACATAGCTCTAAATTTTCCTTGTTTGTCTGTTAAATATGCACGAGTGACGTTGCTTTTTATTTTATCAATACTATGCTATGTGTTACAAATATATACGCTTCCTCGATAAGTTTCGACAGACGACCCGTGTCCGTTTTGTATGATAAGATAAGGGCCCACCTGGCCCTGTACACCATTATGTGGTATGTAATAATTAAATGTCGCACATGGATGATAGAGGAATTCCTATGTGAGCAGGCTGTAACTAAAAGTTGCATGATGTGTATGGATAAATATTTGTATCGTAAACTTATTCGGCAAATTACATTTGCCATAATAATGGTATTCTAGAAAGTACTTTTGCTTTGAAATTAATTAATTTTGAATTAATTAATTAAATGCTTACAGCTGTTTTACACAACATTTATGCTCAATATTTATTTGGAATAATATAGTTCTAGGTAAATCAAATCCAGTGTATGCGTTCACTGATGATCTTATAAACATGTACAAAAACCCTATAGGCATATTTAGCTAGGCTTCGATTTTCACTTTCACAAAAGTCACATAAATTAATGCTCCCGTTTTCACAAGCCGCAAGATTTCTCAGTTATTAAAACGAAAACATTTTCCTCTTCGAAATGAAAAGTAAATGGCTTTTTATACAGCAAAACGAATCCTTATTGCAAAAGAAAAGAAAATATTATATATTTGGTTTATTGATGTATTATCATACATTTGACACCATTAACAGGGCAATATTTTTATAAAAAACCTTTTTTAGCCCAACCTGAAATTTGGCTCTGAATTATTAGTTCACGATAACAACACTTTTCGTTTTCGTGCTAACGGATATCGGAACATTGACAAAAAATGAATTTTCCCGCATAGTGTCACATATTTGCACGTAACAGCTCAGATTGGGGTCGTAATATACTAAACTATGCGCGTTACAGAACAGCTATGTAGGTAAAGAAAGCTATCTCCCGCCACATTTAATTCAAAATGTAAGTGCAAAAAATTAATTTTTTTGACCATTAGCGCACGGAACGTTTTTGAAAACTTAAAACGTAAAAGTTAGTGAAAACGGGAGTCTGCCTTTTATTTTACTTACATATGTTTTTGCGGTAAATTTTTAATACCAAAACTGGCAATTCAATTACAAACGATATCACTCTGGACGTTGCCACCTAGTGTAAATCACTAGTTGAAAACTTAGTGTGCCACGGTTTACATGAGTTTCTATGATCGAGATATATATACATCTATATATTTTTTTATTTAGCTTTCTATAGAACTAGAGTTTTGAAACCAATCAAGACAGCCCACTATGGCACGTAGCATTTCACCTCCCACCGTATAATCTCATCACACTACAGCTTGTTATCTTTTCCCAAGTTATGTTTAATGTTTTATGTGTGCTTACAAAACTTTGTATATTTTCTTTAGCTTTCGAAACGTTCAAACTTATTTTTTCTTTATCTGATGGAGAAGCACAATATACCTAAGTAAAACGGCGCAATGGCAGAAGAAGTGGGGGACTGATTCCTCCTCTTCCTCGTCGTTATGAGAGATTGATAGTCTAGAGGCATGAGTGCCGATCTGCCAGAGTCCCGTGATGGCTCGAGTGACTGCATAGCACTGTGCTCTGCTGAGTCTATACAGCTCTGCTGAGCGCTTCTTCGATCGATATGGCCATATCAATCTTGAGACTTTACAGGAAACAATTTGCTGCCATCTCCTATATGCATTTTTCCCGAACAATTCGTGCGTGAGGAGCCTGCACGTAGCCAAGGGAGAGGAATCATAGTACCCTGCTTGGCTAACTCGTCGGCACCGGCGTTCCCCTCAATGTCCCTGTGGCCGGGGACCCATATAAGGAAGAGATCTAACTGCTCTGCAATCTCGTGCAGAGACCTGCGAATGTCACACTAAGTGCGTGTCTAGAAGTAGTTTAATGGCCACAACCTCCGCTTGGAACACACTTTAGTGATCCGGGAGCCTGAAGCAATGACTAATGTTCAGCTCGCTACAGTAGACTCCGCCTCCCACGCGGCCGTCTAACTTTGAGCCATCAGTGTAGAAGTGGACCGCATTTGCCGGTCCTGGTTCGCCCATCTCCCAGTCCTCCCTGGTTGGGATAGATACCTGTCCTCTCTGGTAATTGCGGGTGTCTCATCTGCCCAGCCACGGACGCTTTACACCGTTTGGCTTCTCTCATTCTGAGGGCAGAAAGTGTTGCCACCTTCTTGCCCATGAGATCTACAGGGAGGAGGTTCAGCACGGCCCGCCAGTTATGCATAGCTCTGCATAGTGAGCATAGTGAAAAGCACCAGCTCGGTCTTATACGGGTTAACTCCTAGCCCGCATTTGTCTGACCATCTCGACATCTTAGTGAGAGTACTTGTCATGCACTCACACGACTGCGGAAATTTACCGGAGAATGCTATAGCAACAAATTCCGCATACGCCATCACGCGGCAGTAAGAGGGGCGAGAGGACTCCGCCCTGCGGTGTTCCTCTGCTGAAAAATCTGGTGGATGTTAACGTCCTCAGTAATGCCTCAACCGTCCTGCATTGTAGCGTCTGAGCGATTAGGATCACCGTCCGAGAGTCGGAAGGAAGGATGTTATTAAAAGCGCCTTCTATGTCGAGGAGGACTACCAGGGTGTACTCCTTGAAGTTAAGGGACGCTTCGATGATCGATATGATCGAGTGTAGGGCCATTTCGGTGGCATCTTCCCTTCCGATAGGCATGCTGGGAGTCTGAGATCAGACTGGGCGGAATACACATACAGAAAAGGCGATAGACTAATGAAATCTTTTGGGGCAATGTGCGAGGGTTTGCCTGCCTTAGCAATAAAAATGACTTTGGTCTGAAGCTAGGTGTCAGGGATGCACTCGTGGGAGAAGAGAGAGTCTTATCGAAAATTATTTTGAGCCAATTAATGGCTTTTTTGTCCCGCGTGAATCAGTTGGGCATGGATAATGCCGTGTGGCCCCGCAGACTTTTATGGTTTAAAGCTTTTGATCGCCCAGGAAATGTTCTTCTCGCCTAGCAGGTTCAGGATAGGGTTTGAGACGACAGAAAGAGGTGCGAAGTAATTGGGTCTGTTTTCATCGCAGTCAGGGAAGTGGGTATTAAGGAGAACATTTAGCGACTCGTCGCTGGACGTAGTCCAAGACTGGCCGGCGTTCTTCATGTAGCTCATGGTGGGTGTTGTCTTCGAGAGAACTCTGAGTTCTGAGTTGTTCTAGATTTCGCTACAGAATTTAAGCCAAGAGGTGCGTTTGGCTTTCCTAAGTCCTTTGTTGTAGGTTGACAGACTGGCTTTTTACCCGGCCTAGTTTTGCTCAACGTTTTTAGCCTTAGCTTTGTTGAAGAGTCTCCGTGAGGCTTTCCGGAGTTTCCCTAGTTTCGGATTCCACCATTCAGGTTTCTTCCGGCCTCTGTTCTTTCCAGAGGGGCAGGCTTTCTCGAGCGCTTTTTTGCAGGCGTCGGTGAAGATCTGAACAAGACGAGTCGTGGCCTCCCTGGAAAACTTCTCCTTAGGTGGGGACTCAGAGAGAACACGACAAGGAAGTCGGAGTACCGAGTCCAGTTTGTCCGCCTGAGGTTCCGGAATTGAACTGGCTTCGGTAATGAGAAGGAGAATACAGTTTCCACGCTGTGGTCCGAGAAGGAGTGTTCTTCCAGGACCCTCCAGGATACAATGCTCCTCTGTATCTCATGAGAGGCAAGCGTGAGGCCCAGGACCTCTTCGCGGTTTTTAATAATAAAGGTGGGGTCACTACCCCGGCTTAATAAGACCATCTGAGTGGTCGGAAGGTAACTGAAAAGGTACTCACCCCTTTCGTTTTTGACTGTGCTTCCCACTGGCAGCGATGTGCGTTGGCGTCGTACTCACAAGTACGCCGATGTCCTTGGCCGCACAGTCTGCGATCAAAGCCGGTTGGCCATGACCTATGTATGCGACCTATGTAATAAGTGCAAATCTCTTCTTGCAAGAATGCAGGTCTCAGACCGGAGACCCTGCTTCCGAGGATCCAGGGCTCCTGAATGAGGACAATGTCGGCTGCACCCTTGGCCAGATGGAGCAGTAGAGCAGCGCACGCTGCCTTACAATGGTGGAGGTTTATCTGCAGAAGCGTTAGTGACATTCCTGGCTCACCTCCACCATTGTTGTCTCTAGGTCGCTGTCGGGGGAATCCAGCTCCTCCTCGCCAGCGAGGCTAGGTCGCTCTCAGCGAACGCGTAGTCATCCTGGATGTCGTCCGACATCATGGATACCGCATCCGACGCCGGGTTGCCCTCCTCACACGAGGCCCCCTCTTTCGGGATCTCCGGCAGCTCCGGGTCTGTCTCGACCTCCACTTGCCTACACTTGCGACCCGACTTGTAGGTGGATATGGTGACCTTTTTGTAGGCATAATCCACGACACGGATCTCTACGGACTCCTCATTAAGGACTAGGATTTTCTGGCGCCTCTGTCCTTGGATATCCTCTACCTTGGCCACCTTCCAGTCGGCTGTAGGAAGGTGGAGGTTGCAGACCTGCAGTAACCTAAGGATCTTTTCATGTTCTGCATTCTTAGCCGAGACCCGTTCTCCGGCTTGGGACATCTTCCCACTTCACGGCCTCCAGTTTCGCCTCTGGATAGACCTCTTTGAGGGCAGCCTCCGCCTTCATGTAGACGGCCGCAGAGCGAGCGTCTTGTCAGGCGATGGCTTTCACCTTGCCTGATGCCACCTTGCGTGCTCACATTTTGGCGGTGGCCCGCCGTTCTCCTCCGGTTCCTGTACCGGTCCTGGAGCTCGTTCTCCACCATGTGCCACTTGTCGCGAGGGACATGGCCTTCCTCGGTGCCCCTGTCAAGGACACCGATTAGGGTCTTTTCCCTCGCCACCTCAGCGAACGATCGCTTCGTGAGGTGGGTTTTCACCCGCTTGGCTTGCTGGGCTTGGCCTGGCTGATTAGCGGGATCCTCCGCTGAGCGTTGCCGCTTGTTGGGGGCCATGGCTGCGCCCTTTCCGGCTTTGGCTGGCTGGAGGTCTGGCAGGCGGCCCACAGCCTCTGCTCAATTCCTTCACCTGACGCCCTCTAGCTAGAGTCTTCGTTGGCCAGGATGAAAGCCGCTCGTCTCCTGTCCTGGTACGACGGCTTTCCTCCCTGTGGTGCAGAGTTGCTACCTGTCGGGGCTCCCATGGGTTGCTTGGTACCGGAGCGCTT